GCCGAGCACCGAAGAATAGATTCTTTTGAACTATGGTGCTGGAGAAGACTCTTGAGAGTCCCTTGGACTGCAAGAAGATCCAATCAGTCAATCCTAAAAGAAATCAACCCTGACTGTTCCCTGGAAGGCCAGATAATGAAATTGAAGCTCAAATACTTTGGCCACCAAATGAGAAGGGAGCACTCATTGGAGAAGACCCTGATGCTGGGAAAGACTGAAGGTCAAAGAAGACGGGACGGCAAAGGATGAGATGGTTAGGCAGTGTCATAGATGCAACGAACATGAAATTGAGCAAACTTCAGAGGACGGTGGAAGACAGGAAGGCCTGGCTTGATCTGGTCCATGGGGTCGCGAAGAGTCGGACTCGACTGTGCGACTGAACAACAAACAACAACATGTTCATTTGCTCAACCAAGACCTACTTTCTATGTGTGTGTGTGTGTGTGTCTTCTGTGGGCACATGTCATACAAGATTTGGGGGGGGGGCAGGTCTGGTCTTCTCTGCAGGAAGTAAGCTCCTTTCTGTAGGTGGTCATTCCATACCTCTAGCCTTTGCCCAGCCAAAAATATACATCCTCCTTATTAGAGTTCAGACCCCAGGATGATGTCTTTCCCTCTGCTGTGCAGCAGCTCACGCTAAAAGGTCTGAACTGCCACTGAGTCTAGCAGGGCTTGTGGTGTTAAGTTTGCCGTGCTGGGAAAGGTATCAGTTTCACCATATCCAGCATGGTGTTTTAGTTATGTGTGTACAAATATGCATTTATGGGCATGAAATTTGCAGTTTGTAGGCTTCAGGGTTCCACATTGACGTTTTTAGCGCTGGATTCAAATTCTGCCCCAGCCACTAAACGCACGCACAAGCAAACGAGGGACTTGGTAGTGGAAAGTGCTGTCAAGTCACAGCTGACTTATGGTGACCCCTCAGGGTTTCTGAGGCAAGAGACATTCAGAGGCGTTTTGCCATTGTCTGCCTCTGCATCACAACCCTGGTATTCCTTGGGGGTTCCCCATCCAAATACTAGTCAGGGCTGATGCGGCTTAGTTTCTGAAATCTGATGAGATCAGGCTAGCTTGGGCTATTCAGGTCAGGGCAAACTAGGGACTTAGCAGGCACAAAAGAGGCCATCTCTGTTAACAGAGCCGTGAGCCTACGAGGTAGATTTAGGAAAACTGCTCTGTCCCAATCTTTGATCCTCAAGAACGGTAAATTGCTTTGCCAAACCTCTTGCGATAGCCCCCCTGAGATCTTGTCCACGTGAATGGGGAAGCACTGTGTGCTCCTACCTTCAGCTCGCTCAACAATCTCTAGCACCCCTTCCTTTGTACGAGGAAGAGAGAAGCCTACGCTGCTTCCTGCCTGAGGGCTGCAGCTCCGTATAACCTGATCGGTCAGGCAGGAACGGCTCCCCCTTTCTGGCTGCTCCTGTAGCCCTTACAAGGGTTCTACACAAACGCAAATTATGAAAGTAAGGCTAAGTACTGCCACGGCTAAGTACTGAATGAAAGTAAGGCTAAGTACTGCCACGGCCCACTCCAGAGCGCAAACCCAGAGTAACTGCCCTCCTGCAAGATAGCAAAACTTGGCCCCTGCATTCCATTCCAGTTAATTGACCAGGAAACAAACAAGACTCCAAGGAGAGGCAGGGTGGATGGCCTCAGCTCCCAGAGACCTCCCTTCCTGCCAGCTCAGCCTCCCCCCACCTCCAGCTCTTCACCATCTCCACTGCACACTGCTGGAAGGCAGCCTAGGACCTCGGCTCCCTTGACATCAAAGGGCCTCTACAAAGAGTCTGCGAACAAACAGAATTCCCCACTGCCACCTACAAAAACCCTCTGCTCTCCTTCCTCCCCCTGCCAAGCACCAGGGCCCAGGGAGGAACCTATTGTTCCTCCTTTGCTCTCTTACTCCAGCAGGGAATTTCTCAGTAACGTCGACGGCCACAATGCTTTTGCACCCAGGCATGTTTTTTGTCACCTTGTGTCTCTCTCCGCCACCCACAGCCTTCCTCACCCAGCCATTGTTTTATGGGCACTGCTTAAAATCCATCTTCTGCTTGAGCCATGTGGTTTCAAAATCTCCACCAGTTTTTTTTTTTTTTAAACCTTCCTGAATCATCCGTCTGGCCGCCTGGGAGGCCGGCAGTCTATTCCCGCGGTGAATCCTATGGCAAATAAAATGACAAGGAAGAGACTGAGAGACTGATATTTATGAAACAGAGTAAGAGAATGCCAGAGACAACCCAGGGGAAGGCAGGTTTGAGCGAAAGGAGAACGACAGAAAGTGAATTTGTGTAGAAATTAGCTGGAGATGTTGAAGGCAAGAGGGGAGTTTTAAGTGTATTGCAGGGATGGGGAAGGTAAGTTTTTTCCAGAGGCATTTAGGTATAGCCAGCGAGGGAACTGTGTAGGGGGAAAAATCATGGTAGAGTTATTGGATTAGCAGCGGGCAATTGGATGGACAGAGCTGAGAGTCTTGGTGGCAGAGGTAGATGCAGCCAGGTCATAGTATGCAAGAGCTGAGCAGTATGCAAGAGGTGGCAGAGGTAGATGCAGCCAGGTCATATAGGCTAGTATGCAAGAGCTGAGCAGGGGCCCTATTTAGGGAATGCAGAAGGAGGCTGTTATTTCCCCCCTTCATGTGTTTCAGACAGTGTGTGCCTCAGGAACATGCTCTGGCTAAATCACTGGCTCACCCGTGATGGTTACAAGAATAAAACAAGCTTCTGTATTACACAGGCACAGCAAAGAAAAGTCCATTTGCTTGGGGAGGAGCAAAGGACGGGTGTGTCTATACTACTGTCTTGTGTCAAGACATTGCTATAAGAAAGAGAATAACTATTTAGGTTTATATGGAATTATGGAAATAAGTCTTATAAAAAAAACTTTTCTTTTTTTTAAATTTAGCCTTCAGTATATCCAAAACAAGGCTTTTGGATCTTGCAGTATCTCCTTGCTTCCTGAAAACTGAAATGTTTTTTCCTTCAAGGCATCCGTCATGCAGGTTGGTCTCAATCCAAGCAGTTGCTTGATCTATTGTATTTTCCTTGCAACTCCATTTAGTGTTGTTACTTACCCAGCGGTAGGGAAGATTACTAGGTTGATGTGTGTTCTCAGATTAATCTTCATTTGAACACAGCATCTTGTTGCGGACATTGGTTTCAGAAATGTCCTTATGAAACCAGTTTTTGCCCACTATACAGTCTGTATCAACGTGAGCCAGTGTGGTAAGAGTGTTGGATTAGTATCTGGGAGTCCCAGGTTTGAATCCCCACTTGTGCCATGGAAGCTCGCTGGTTAACCTTGGGCCAGTCACACACTCTCTCAGCATAATCCTACCTCACAGGGTTGTTGTGAGGACAAAAATGGAGTAGAGGAGAATGATGTAGACTGCCTTGGGTCCCCCTTGGGGAGAAAGGCAGGGCATAAATGAATGAAATAAATAAGTAAATAAATGTAAGAGTTCAGATTTAGGAGCTCTTTTAAAAGCTTTGTAAAGATAGCTATGGTGAGGGAAAGGTCACTATAATATGCACCAGGGACTTTCCCCCCTCACTTTGGAATGGTTTTCCCATCAACAATGAAAACTGTTTTCAGCGAGCATAAAAAAGACAAGCAGCAGATATCTTGGGAACATTAGCTGACTTTACAGTATGCAAAAATATCAAGATGTCACTATTATGCTGCTATCAACAGTGCCTTTCTCCTGGATGGGGAGAAAGTGAGAGAACCCAGATTAGAGCAACAGCAAACGGAGAAGGGGAGAGGGAGAGAGAGAGAGATACTTCCCACGTGGCTCCTGCTGGGAACTGAATATCTTCCATCCTTCTCTCCTTTTCTCCCTTGAAGAAAAGGGAATATTTTTTATTTTAAAGGAAGAGCAACTTGTGCTTTCAGAGGAGGGATCAATGTGCCCCCCCTTCTCTTCCCTGACCTTTTCTTCTGCACTTAGCACATCTGGCCTCCACCCTTCCCTTTCTGCATGCCTCTTGCCCCTGCGTGCCTCCTCTGGCCAGATGTGCAAGCAGGCGGAAGGGTCTGAGGGGAGGTGCTAAGGCATGGAACTGGAACTACTTTCTCACAGCAGCAGCAGGAGCAGCAGCAGGAGCAAGAGCAAAAGCAGCCACAGACTCATTGTGTGAGAGGGAGGGAAAAAGAGATGGTGGCGGCAGCGGCAGGATGAGGAGACGGCAGCTCCCGCAAATCCCTCTCGCAACTTTTCCTCTAAGTGCCTCACATGCACGGAGTGAAGCTTTCCTCCTTTCTTGTGGGGTGAAAACAGGGACTCCTGGAGAGGGAGTCCCCTCTTTTTCTCTCTTTTTTGCACAAGTTACTACATCTCCGAAGGGGGAAATAGAGAGGAGGACCAATCTGTTTTTCGGGACCATCGGAAGACTTTTAGGGACCAAATGGTGTGCTGCCCTTTGAGGTCTTTCTAGAATTTTGAAGGCGGTATAGATATATTTTTCTTTTTCTTTTTTCTGTTTTCAGAGTGGAGATACCTGGAATCTTATCTGGAGAAGAGGCTTATTTTAGAAGTTATCATTGTGGGTTACTGCTTCTCCCATCCCGTTCCAGGTACTAAGAGGTTCCCCCCCCCCCCCACCCGGGTGTGTCTCCTACATAACTTCAGTCCCAAGAGTTTTTGTTCACTCTTCATACCCATTACAAGGAAGTTTACAGTAACTTTGAAATTTTGTCTCTCGTTCCATAGTGGAAGAGGAAACCCTGAACTCTCTTTTCTGCCCCTTTGGACGGAATTTACCTTTACCCCCTGCAATTCCAAATCTGGAACTCCTCTCTACCCCTTTGGATTTTCCAAGGGACGTTCGGTTCCTCCGCTCAACATTTTAAAGTTGAAAGAGGGGGAGCAGTCAGCTCGCATGCCTGCAGTTTTGTTTTAAGCAACATACAAGCGTTTTGACTTCTTGAAAGAGGCACAAAGACCCCGGAGGGGAGGTTCTTATCTTCCCCTGACCTGGTGGTCTTGTGGGACTCAGAAGATGCCTTCGGTAATGGAAAAATCGGGGATCCTGTCCAGGAGCCGGTCCAAGTCAGCCACCAACGGCAACCATCAGAACTCGGAGGATGACAGCAGTGAAGAGGAACACTCTCATGGTAAGCCAAGCTGGGATATTATGCGGTGCACACATGGGGAGTTATTAAAACTGGCTGTTTCTCAAGACTTCATTGTGCTCCAGAGGGTGGAGGATTTGAATCTGTGACTGCGCGGGTTGGAGGTCTGGTGTGTCCCAGTTCAGATGAGTTTACAAGGCTGTGCTGTTGTGGAACAAAGAGTTTGGCATCAGAGACTCTTTGGGAGATGGACTGGAGGCCACTGGGCTCATGGCATGAATGGCCCCTGTCTGCCTTTCTCCACTGGAGGGGAAGGGCCCTCTGTCAGCTCACTTTGCCCTCTGGTGGCCACAGACTGCGGGCTGGGTGAGAGTCGGTTAGGGAAATCTCCCCAGAGTGGCCATGGCGGTGGCAGAGGACAACCGTGTTCCGTAAGAGCTGCCTGACCTGGGGCACTTATGATGGAAAATGCACTGAGGAAATCATACCTGTTGGGGATGCACAGAGTGGCAGCATGTGGGTAGTGGGGGGGAAAGCTGCTTTTTAAAGCAACAGAGATGTGGGAGTGGGGATGAAAGAGAGGTGTGTGTGTGTGTGTATCTGTGTGTAGCCTGGTGTGGTGCAACCAAGGGGGTGATGATGACCTCCTTGGGTGGAGTGCCAGGATGCTTGGGATGAACTGAGGGTGCAGGTACAGACCTGGGGCTGAGGCGTGCCAAAGACTGTCCTAATGATGGGACAGTGATAGTTAAATGTGTCTCTGCCTGGCTTTCCCAAATGTCACTCCAAGCATATGTTCCATTGCTCAGGAACACAGAATAAAACAGATTCCAGGGCACTGTGACTGGGAAAAGACCTTCTTTCCCTGAATCCTTCTGGGCGTCACCTCATTTTAGGGACTACCTTGTCACCTTACAGATAAGACTTGACCTGTTTTGCCTATGTGGTCAGATCCAGAAACACGAGGAGGAGCCTAGGACTCCCTTGGTTTTGCCCCTTTTACTTTCTCTCCAGCCCCACCGCCTGGCCAGGTTAACAAAGGAGATGGCTCAGGACTTGGGCTGGGAAGAGGGGTTTGGTTTTATTGTCCCTTAGAGCCCTCCCATGTCACTTCTCTCCCCTCAGAACTCTGCTATGGCCTCTTGTATAGGCTTTGTTAGCCTCCCTCTTTGTGGGGATGCCATGGGGGTGGAGACGATGCACTTGTCACAAGGCATCGGTGCATCTGTTCCTAGAGGTATGCAGTGCCCTTTGAGTTGGCAGTGGGAGACTTTTGTCCACCAGCCACTCGCTATGGAGTACACAGTTGAAATTAACTCCAGTCAGGTCTGTCTTATCCCCACAACACACCCAGGAAAGGAGATGCCTCCTTATGTCACCTCCTTTCCGAGGTGCGTCTGCAGGGAGGTAGGACGCGCTCCATCTCCTGGTAGCATAGCCCATCAGCGAGGTAACAGAGTGTCACTTAACCCCACGGGGCTGTGGGAAAGGCCTGTGGAGTTCTCTGGCTGTCCCTCCGCACCCTCCCTCCCTCTGTAGGACCTTGCTTGGTTGATGGGGGAAGCGCATGGTCCAGCTGATGGCGCCATCTGTCTCTCTGCTAAGTGACATCCGCCCAACCTGCTTGAAGATTCTGCCACCAACACCTTCTCCCCTGACAGCACCCTGATTATGCCTGTCAGACACAGGCAGCTGTGGGGGGGGGGGGCGGAGGGGCTAAATGCTGCCCTGTACATAGCAATAGGACAGTTCCTGTATATCCAGCCACACTCAACAGAAGTGTCCTGAGTGGTACTGTGAGGGTGTATCCCAGAATGGATATAGAAACCTTTCAATTGATACACAGTCCCCAGCCCGACATGTGTTTCTTGGCCCTTGTGCCAGAAAGCGAAAGCTCGGGAGCTCCTTGGCATGACGTTGGCTAAATGCTTCCAGATCTCGCCTGCTGCTCAGCAGCTGTTCGGTAGGTTGGTTTTGTGTGTTATTTTTAAAAAAGGACGGGAGCTGGAGATGGGGAAGGGAGCAGCGGGCCATCCATCTCACAGTGGGAAAGTGCCTCTGCGGCCTGGGAAGCAGCTTCCTCAGCTACTGATGCCTCTCTGCTGGGCTCCCAAGGGGCCTTGCTTCTTGAGGGCCAAGGGGCACCTGCTTCTCGGGTGGCACACGCTGGGCTGGGCACCTGCACCTTCGCTTGGCTCAGCTCTTCATCCTGGGGCTCCCCCTCACGAAATCAGCACCACCTTTTGGGTTGAAGCGGATGGCAACCAAGCAAATGTGCACACACAAAGAAGCCACGCAGCAATCTGGACAGGAGAATGAAAACCATAAAGAATTAGGAGCTGGAAGTGCTTTGGAAGACAGAGCCCTTCCAGGGAGAACCTCACCCCACAATATATACACACCCCACTTCACCTGTACAGAGCTACTGGACTTATGACTCGCTTTGGACATGAGAGTACCTTGCTGTGTTCCCTGAACCTAGCATCCGTTTGGAATTGAGCAAGTCAGGCAGGAAGGCACACCCACCACTGATCCGATGTCTTCCTCTGGTGCCAAGGCTCTGTGGGAAATGCACAGTGGCCCTTTTCTCTCTTATGATTTGGGCCTCATCACAATCTAACCCTTCCCCCCCCCAACTATTGTAGCAGCAGTGGGTCTTTCACACTCGCCCTTCTTGTTCCCTTGCAGACAGCATGATCCGTGTGGGAGCAGATTATCAAGCCGTGATCCCAGAGTGCAAACCAGGTAAAGGAACGTGCATGTGCGCAGCAAAGTGTTAAGCAATAACCACCCCCAGCTCTCTCGGATGAGGACTCTCACTTAACAAGACCGGGTGATTACGATTTCTAGGATGAGTCCCTTCTTCCAAGTGGGACCTGACCTCCTGCCCCAAAGAGACGGGAGGGAGAGATGATACGTCCGACAATCCCCTGCCTGGCAGGTGACTTCTGCCACCCATCCTCCTCCCTCTTCCACCTGGCAGCAAACGGGTGCCGTTGCTCTCTTCCAGCGCTGAACCTTTGGTGCCTCCTGCTCCCCCCTCCCCCCGGGCATCACATAGCTGCTCTTTTCTGGGCTTGGAAGCCCCGTCCACCCCTTGTTCTCAGGGCAGGAGGAATAACCATTTATGTGCTTGGTCAAGAGTGAGGGAATGGAGTCTGTACTGTTAGTACGGTTAATAATGCTTGTGTATAATGCTTGTGTATACTGGTGAGGGTGAAAGGGATGAGCTGAACAGAACATGGCTTTCCCTGGAATCGCAACCGGGGTGGTTGTGTATACTGGTGAGGGTGAAAGGGATGAGCTGAAATGGAATTGCAACCGGGGTGAAGCTCACCTGCCAGGGGCTGCTGGTGTCCTTTCACGGTCTTGGATTTGGGGGCACCGGATCTCGAGCCCAGGAGGAGAGGCCAGGCATGCCTCAAGGAAGCCATCCGATCACCCTTGTTTTCTTCTTTGTCACCCAGAAAGCCCTGCTCGCTACAGCAACAAGGAACTGAAAGGGATGCTGGTTTGGTCTCCTAATCACTGTGTGTCGGATGCCAAATGTGAGTTGCTCCTCCCTTATTGTTTGTGGGAAAAGGGGGGGAGGAGGGAGAAGGGGGTCAAATCAATGGCTGTTAGGAGCTCTGCTCCTCTGGCCCATGTCATCCTTTGGATGCTCCAGCAGCTTCCACCCCCAGTCTGAACCAGTTGCAGAAGCAGCCAAGAACCAGCCTTGCTAGGAGTGGGGGGTGGGGAAACACATTCCATCTTCAGCTGGTAACAGAGCCTCTGACTGACAGCTCCCCCCTCTCCCCCCCTCCCGGGACTCCTAGAAGCAATTACCGTGCGGCTGGTGCGCTGCCTCCGGCTCCTGGGTTATTAATCTGGCTGATGCAGGCAGCTTTCAGGGGTGGGAACACTGGCTGTGCTGAAATGTTGGGGGGAGGCCCCAAACTGGGCTTCGGCTCCCCCAAGTACTGTTGGGAGGACGACCCCCCCAAAAACACCAGAATGCTGCTGTTTGTCACTCCTGACCTTTTGTCACTGAGCCGATATTGTTTAGCATCTCTCTCTTGAGAGCCAGTTTGGCGTAGTGGTTAAGTGTGCGGACTCTAATCTGGGAGAACTGGGTTTGATTCCCCACTCCTCCACTTGCACCTGCTGATGTGACCTTGGGTCAGTCACAAGCTCTGGCACAGCTGTCCTTGAAAAAGAGCAGTTTGTGTCAGAGTTCTCTCAGCCCCACCCACCTCACAGGGTGTCTGTTGTGGGGAGGGGGAGGGAAAGGAGTTTGTAAGTCGCTCTGAGACTCCAAGTGAAGAGCGGGGTATAAATCCAATCTCCTCCTCCTCCTCTTCTTCTCTCTCTCTCTCACACACACAATGTATAAGAACCCCCCTTTTTTCTTTCTAAATATGGGCTTACATAGGCTCTGCCTGCAAATAGTGTCAAACGCGGTCCTCTGAGTGCAACCCACAGATACTCCTTAGCTTCCTTGGGTGTGTGTGCATGTCCCCTCATATGCACAGTACTTGGATTCTCTCCCTGACTGTTAGCAGCAGAAGCTCTCCCACTTGGATCCTCACAAACATTTGTGGGTGTCACACAGGAGGAGGAGGAGGAGGAGGAAGAGATCACGCCCACCCAGAGCTGGCAGGCCAGCCACCCACCCACGAAGATGTCAGAGGCAGCATCTACATTCTGCCCCCCCCCAGCACCTGATGTTTGTCTCTTTCTCCCTCTAGTGGACAAATACATTGCCATGGCCAAGGAGAAGCACGGATACAACATAGAGCAGGTAAAGAGAAAAAATCAGATTCCTTGTTTTCTGGCCTACCTCAGAATTGTTAACAGAGAAACTGAAACTGAACAAGTTCTGCATGAGCAGAACAAATTACACAAAACGATGTAACACCATTTGATTTAATTAACCAAATTTTGATTTATTAGACACAATCGCCGTTTAGCATCAACTGGAACAGTTAAGAGTTTGTTGGAGACAAGTGTAACCCACTTTACGTTAGGTGCTCTCTCGCTCAGAGCAAAACCATACGAGGACAGGAATGCAATGGGCAGACAAGCTGAATAGTGGATATCAAAGGCAGGGAGCTGAAGAATGTCCTTTCCCCGTTCAATGACGTCCTTCCTAGAGGACCCCCATTCCGATCTGTCTGCCATCACCCTCCTTCACTCTTCAAAGTTTATCTTCAAAACAACGAGGGCTAGAAACTTATTTTGAAGGAAAGAATAAGACTTGAGACTTTCGGGAACCAATTTCGCCCCCCCCCCCCAATGCTATTGTGGCCACTTTTGTGTCATTGGAGTAGTCGTTCTTGTTGGTCTTGCCCAAAGGCTTTGGGGATGCTGTTGTGGCACAAACACGATGTGGAGAAGTCCCTGGCTGATCTGGCTAATTTCACACCTTTCCCTGACGAGTGGACAGTGGAGGACAAAGTCCTGTTTGAACAAGCCTTCAGCTTCCACGGCAAGAGCTTTGCTCGCATCCAGCAGATGGTAGGTGGCCACTGCTCTCTGAAGAGAGCGAGAGAGAGAGAGAGAGAGAGAGTGTGTGTGTGGAAAAATGGGGCCCAAAGAATGGCACTCTTCTACCATCAGAAACTGCTTACACTGTAAAGGACATCAGTTAAATTATGTGAAGTTGTCACCAGATATCCAAGGACTGCACATGCAAATGTGCCCTTTTGTGGTGTCCTGAACTGACTATAATGTCATTGTACTTTCCTGCCTTAAACAAAATAATAATACCTCTTTTCTCCTATACTGGGGGGGGGGCACTGCAGGGAAAGACTGCAGGAAAAGAGAGGAAGTCAGCCAATGGTGAGATTCGAACTCCACTCCTGCTCTTTCTCCTGACAATTCAGACACTTGACTGTGCTTCTGGCACCTTGACCCACATGCCAAGTGTAGGCAAGATCTAGTGCCAGGGCCCCAAACCCTGCGTGTCAACATCACCCCTCCTCATCGTGCAGTTGCATCCCTTGTTCTATCCAGAAATTAGACTTTGGGATTCATTTTCTGCCCTTCTCCACTCACTGCATTCCTCCTCCTCCTCCACTGCCTATTTAGCTTCCTGACAAGTTGATTCCCAGCCTGGTGAAGTACTACTACTCCTGGAAGAAAACCCGGAGCAGGACCAGTGTGATGGACCGGCAGGCCCGCAAACTGCTCAGCAAGAAGGAGAAGGATGACAGGTCAGAGGGAAGGAGGGGATGAACATGGGCGGGAGCTAGCTGGATGTTAGGTTCACAACAGAAGGAACTGGTTAGCAGCAGAGGCAGCCAAGCTGCAGGGGGAAGCCAGTATCTTTGTCTTCTAGTCCATCACGACTAGAGATGTAAAATTTCCGGAAATGTTGAAGCTCGGGAAAAAAACACGTTTTTTCCCCAGTTTTTTTCGGGGGGAAACGGAAATTTTTGGAAAAATTGAAAAAAATGCTACATTAGCACTTCTTTTGTCTTTTCTAGATTGAAAGTCATTCTGTTACTTTAGGAACATAAAATATGACTATGGACATTTTTACTTGGCATGAAATTATCACAACTAGCATATTAAAAATATAGTGCGTCCAAACAGTTATCACAAACAGAATACCCGCCCACATGCAAAAACAAAACTGAAACCTTTTTCTTTTCTCGTGACAATAGCACCTCCTAAAGGAAGAAATGCATCTTGTTCTTGCATTGGAGAGTTCAGTTTGTAACCTAGGACTTGCTTGTCAGTGCACAGAAATTAGATCAATCTGATACCATATATATTAGAAATGATTTGGAAAATATTTGAACACCTTGTCTTAAAATATTTTATTCATCATGTTAAAATAAAACGTTCCATAATCAATTTTTTTTCTTTTCTTTTTTCAATTTTTCCAATTTTTCGGGAAAAAAGGTTTTTTCCCGGGCTTTCACATCTCTAATCACGACTGCAGTGTGGGAACCCCAGCTGCTCAGATTAATCACTGGCCCCCTTAACGGTGGAAAGCCACCGCGAGTTTGGCTCAACGGCCAGATGACATGGAGATGGCTCCCCAGAAAGCTAGTCTAAGCACAGCAGGTACACGCCCAGGCAAAGCACTGGCAGAGGGGAAGCCCCGTTCTCGCATGGAGGGTGTGAAAGCTTGGCATAGGCGGCCTGGCGTTTCACACGCCACAGCCTCTTCCAAGACCAGGGCTGTCTGCTGCCACAAAAGCCTCCGTGGGCAAATAGTGTGCTTCATTTATGAGGCCGTCACAAGATTGTCGAGTGTCCTCCTGGGACGAAAGGGTTCCAGTGTTCAGGGAAAGGGTAGCACACATAAGGGACAGCCAGAAGATTGTAATTTCTTGATGCGATTCTGCGAATTGGTGCACCTCAGCCTGGATTCAGAGATGAGCAGCGGCATCCCAAGATAGAACGAGAGTCCAGCAGCGACGTGGAGACTAAAAATGTATTCCCACGTAAGCTTTTGAGACTCATGAATGCTTATGGTGGAATAAATTTTGTTAGTCTCCGAGGGGCCACTGGGCTCCCATTTTGTTTTGCTGCCGGCTGACTTAACACAGAGACTCGTCTGCAATTAGCATCCCGAGATGTTCTTAAAAGAAATCATGGGAGTGTCCCAGCAGTCCCAAACACATTATGGCCCCACTGCCTGTGGGGAAAGTAGGCAAAAGTACCCAACTGGAATTGCTAAATGGGGGGGGGGGGGGGGAAGGGCCCTGGAGTGGAATGGCTTCTGAATGCTGTTGGATTTCCCCTACAGCAATGACGAGCTGGAGGAAGGGCGGCAGGCCAGTGAGGGTGAATTTGATGCCATGGACCCCAAAAAGGAGGTATGGGAAATAACGTACTGCTAAGCCAAAACGGATGACAGATAAGCTGGGAAATGTATAGTTCCTTCAGTGCCTGAATGTCTGAGGACTGACAGACTTGGAATAAGCACAACTGGGGCTAACCTCCCGCTCACGTCACCGAAAACAGGGCTGCTTTCAGCCCCACCGTGCTGGTGTGGTGGGAAGTGCCTTCGAGCCGCAGCTGACTCATGGCGACCCCCTCGTGGGGTTTCCCAGGCAAGAGACGTTTGGAGGTGGTTTGGCCAGTGCCGGCCTCTGCACAGTGGCCCTGGGCTTCCGTGGTGGTCTCCCCTCCAAGTACTGCCCAGGGCTGACCCTGCTGAGCTCCCGAGATCTGGAGGGACTGGGCTCGCCTGGGCCATCCAGGTCAGGGCTTCATGCCCCTTGCGCATATAAAATGTGGCGTGTCATACAGATGTCATTGTCTGGATGCATCTCAGGCTTCCGTTTCTTAAGTTTCTATCCCTTACGGATGTAGAACAAAGCTTGGTGATTAAAGGGCTGCAGTTTTGGTTACCCTTGGCAAAGAGAAGGTATTTCGAATACATGGCTCTAAAAAACAAAGATGGTATATGCATGGGGGGCACTCTGCTTGGAAAGGATATACCGTATTTACTCAAAAGGAAGATGACCCTGAACATGACTCCCCCCCCCTCCAATGATAGACACATAAAATTATTACTGGACATAACTTGTATGCAGATGTAAGATGACTGCCCTCCCCCTTTGATGGCAGACATGGGGGGGGAAGTTTGTTTTGTGTTTGAGTAAATACAGTAAAACAGAAAATAACTATAATTGCAGAATGAATGACACAGGAGCCCTGCTTTGTCATTACGCTTTTGTCACTCCCTATGCCACATACCCAAAAACCTCACTACACATCATCTTGATATGCCCAGTTGCCATTTTGTACAAATAGGACAACATGTATATTTCCCAGCTTCACTGTGTGCGCACAAATATCTACTCCTACCCCCCCCCAACAATATGCAAGAAAATATGCATATTGACAACTGTGTGTATCGAGAGGATTTACACAAGAGAGTGTTCTGCCAGTACCTGAGGTAGGACCGCCAAAATCATAAGGCCTGAAAAGGGCTTGTATTGAGGGGGGGGGGAATACTGACCCCCAGCCTCAGGAACAAGGAGTTAGTACAACTGGAAGATGCTTCCAATAGGGGCTGTTGAGGAAAGGCGCCTAAGAGGTGCGCGGAAGAGTATTGCACGAGTAACACACTGTGGCAGTAAGGGAGGTTGGAGGGAGACCCCCATTTGGGCCTCTGCTCAGCTTTCTCATCTCCCCTCTCCCAGCCTAGTTATCAGAAGCCGCTGAACAGCAAACCGGGGCCTGTGAAGAAGGAGGTCCAATTGTCGCAGTACCGGCACCACCCGCTTCGCGCCCGCCGGCGGCCCCCCAAGGGCATGTACCTGAGCCAGGAGGACATCACTGGCCTGTCCACCAGCCCCGACATGGCTTCCCTCACACTGCGCCACTTGGACTCCCAGCTGGTGTCCCTCAAACGGCAGGTAGAAAAGCCTCCCGTCCCCTAGGGGGTCCCCTTACGGCTCCCCCTAGCAATGACCCAGGGGTGGGTGGGGGAATAGCCCGCAGAAAGGCTCCTTCCTCCCCCCAGGGGATCTGTACTCCTCTGCCTCACAATCCCAGGCAGGTGGGAACTGGGGCATTGAAACTTCTAGCTTCTGCTCTGTTTTAGGTACAGAGCATCAAACAGATCAACAGCAGCATGAAACAGGTCTTAGAAGGAGGAATAGACAAGTTGCGGCCGCCTGAGGTGAGTGTGCCAGGCAGAAGAAACAGGGCACACCTGAGTGCTGCCCTTTTTCTGACACCCCCCACCCCCCCCGAGCAAGTGTTCTAAGAGGGATGGCAAAAGATGGGACAATGCTCTTTTCTCTTCCAGACCAATGTAAAATTTAATTCACGCTGGACGACAGATGAGCAGCTGCTGGCCGTGCAGGGTGAGCACCAGGGGGCCCACTGGGATTGGGGAAGCAGGGAGGAACCCACCCTGGGAGGCGGCGGCCCCTCCTCTCCTGGATTTCACCGTGTACCCGACTGATGGGCTGCTCCCCTCAGTGGGGGAAAACTGTCCCTTTGGAATTACGATGGTAGTGCAGATGTCATTGGAAACGGCAGCCCTGGGGCGACTTCTCTGCAGCGCAGATTGCTGGAGACACGACAGACAGCCAGGCCACAGTCAATATGTTCTAAGTGGGACAGATGGGAGGGGTGGGGGACTTACCATCACAAAACCGGCAGCAGGGCTCTTGTACCACATCTAGCTCTCTCTCCCCGCCCTTTGCCTTGTTCTGAGAGAGGGCCACCCGTGTGTCCTCAAGATATTGAAGTGCACCTTTCTTCTCCTGCTCAGCCATCCGAAAGTACGGGAAGGACTTCCAGGCTATCGCAGAGGTGATCAGTAACAAGACCGTCGCTCAGGTGAAGACTTTCTTCGTCAGCTACCGGCGACGGTTCAACCTGGAGGAGGTGCTGCAGGAATGGGAAGCAGAGCAGGAGGGAGGGTGTCCGACAGCCCCCCAGGGCAGCTCCCCTGCCCAGGACCCCAAGAGCTCCAGTGCATCACTAGCCAGCAGTGAGGAAGAGGACGAGGTGAGGGGGCATGCCAAAAGCCTGTCATGCCACAGAGCTCCGGGCTGCCCGCACTGACCACCTTTCTCCTATCCTTGCAGGTTCAGATCACTGCCGTCTCCCGCTCCTCCTCCTCCTCGCAGCAGCAGCAGCAACCTCCGCCGCCGCCCCTTCCACCGCCCCCTCTCCCGGCTTCCCCCCGACCGCCGCCTGCAGCCCTCTCCCAGCCGCCCCCTTTGCTGAGGCCCACACTCCCGACGGCACCCACGCTGCACCGCCAGCCGCCACCCCTGCAGCAAGGCCGCTTCCTGCAGCCCAGACTCTCGCTCAACCAACCGCCACCCCCGCTCATCCGGCCAGCTACGTCACGACAGGCAGCCCGGGGAGGCCAGCACCCCCCCTCGCTCCTTGGCGGTGGGGCGGGAGAGCCGCCCCCGCCCTCCCCTGCCTCCCTCTGAGGGTTCTGCCTCCTACTTAGCAGTCTGTGAGCCTCACACCACAGCAGTTGCCGCTGGGATTGGTACGACCTGCTCTCCTGGCCCTCTGTACAGAAATGGGTGGAACTGCCGTGGTCGTGAGACAGGAAGGGGTTGGGGGAGAGAGAAGGGGCCGCAGGGTCCCACCTGTCATCTGGTCCAGCTCAGGTAGGGTCTAGAAAGCTGGCACTGAGTCCTAGTCCCCAAATGAATTGGGATGGGGGGGGGGCTTCTTTTTTTTGGGGGGGAGAGAAGTGAACAGATAGAGGAATAATAGTAGCTTGGGGGGGGGAGGGGGGATTCTGTTTACACTTTGCAAATTGGTTTGCAGCAGTGCCTGTGTGGATGGGGGAGGGGGGGAAAGGGGTGTGGTCAAGGGGCTGAGTGGGCCACAAGTAGGAGTAATTTTTTTGGGGGGGAGGGGAGATCAGCCCAAGGGGAGGGCGTGTCTAGCTGAGCAGTCAGGAGGGGCTGAGAGCCCCAAGTGCTCCCCACGCAGTGGCCGTTTCCGCTCCTCTGCAGACAGGGAAGCAGCTGGCAAAAGCCACACACTGGCTCAGGTGGAGGCAGAAGGGAGAGCCGTGCCCAATGCCCCTGGCCCACGTGGGCAACAGCCTTGGCAGCAGGCCGTGACAGCCGGACTACCTAAAACAGCTGGGCAAGCTTGTGGGTGTGCAACTCCCCTCCTGCCCTCCCCTCATCGGGAGACAGGGCAGAAGCATTTTCTGTCCACAGAGCATTTTCAATAAAGGTATTTTGTTACATGCGGCTGGTCTTTTCGCCCTGCGTCTGGCACTGGGAACAGACTGGGAGGTGGAAGGAACTGTGGCGCTGGGAAATGCAGCAGGAAGGAGGATGCGCTGTCGCGTTATCAAGGCCGCTTCACAGAAAATACTTTCCTATCCTTTTCTGGAAAACCAGTTGGGAGAATGATGAGTTTCATTTCTTTGGCAGGTGAAGGCCTTCCCTCAGCCCCTTCTTGGGGGCTGTCATAGCTCTGAGCAGTTTTGCCTCTTGCCAACCCTGCCAACTGGGCTGCTGGAGCAGACAAACACAACGTTTCTGCCATGTGTGGCAGCAGCTCCACTGCGGGATCCTCCCAGCTCATGGAGAAGGGCAGCCTCTTGTGGGGCGCCGCAACCCCCTGTGTGGGTCCCAACTAGCCCTCTTGCCCCACCCGTCACCAACGTTCCACAGCAGTCCTGCCAGAGGTCATGCCACAGATCAAAAAGAAGCCAGGCTGAACTGGCATGGAATCAAGACAACCAGACAAGGTAAGCTCCCTTGGAAAGGGGCCCTCATGACCCACTGCCTTCAGGCCTTGCCTCACTGGCGCCAACACCACCGCTGGGATCAGGCTCCCTACAGGACCACCCACACCCCACCACAGCAGGTACTCCTCGGCCCTTACCTGGCTCCCCCATGCCCCTGCACATACAGCCTCTCCGGGAGTAGGAGTGTGTATGTGTGTGTGTGGGGGGGGCCCACGTGATATGCTAGAAACAAAAACCAGCGGAAGCCAAGCCAGGCAAATGCTTTCTGGAAAGTTTAATCTAGATCCTGTAAAACTACATCAAACGGCAGCGTCCCTAGAGGGAGAAGGGGGGGAGAACGAACAAAAAGGGGGGGGGACATGATTTCTCTTTAAAAAA